GTTCTCATTTGCCGTCTGCACCGCCTGTTCCGTATCAGCTCTAGCTCGTAGCACAGATCATAACATTGCGCAAGGAGTTCGTTGACGCTCCCTTGGCATTCGGGTAAGTCGTTTCCAACATAAAATTTCCCATCAACTCTCATGTTATCAATGGAATTGAGCTTAAGAAGTTTGTGAGCATCACATGTATGCATGTATAGTAGAATTTATATTTGCGGTTGATGATAGAAAGGGGGTAGGAAACTGACCTTCATACTATACGGGTAGAGTTCTCTGGCATTAGAAACCCCGCCAGACTCCTTAACTTCAATTAAACATTTCCTCAATGTCTGGAGTTGGTTATATATAGGTAGAAGCGCTTCTGAGACTGGTTCAGACGAGATAAGCAAACCATAAATTAAAGCATAGCTCCGTCGAATCAGATACAGAAGTGTCTATGTGGAAAGTCAGTACACGAGATTTCACTCAAACTGCTGAGCAGGGGTCATTGCAATCTTACCCTTTGAGCGTGAATGTCGGCTGGTTTCCCATCGCCATCCAAGAAATTTCCATCAATCCGGGATTCGTCAATCTTGTTAAGCTTTCTCTGATACATAAACAAATCAGTTTCTCGTAGCGACCACGCCTGGGTCATGACAAGTCTATCGAGTTGGTTTCGAATCTCTAGGAGTTTGCTATAGGGCTCCTGAAACCGCTCATCGATTTTACCTTTCCTAGAAAAGGAGAAATAAAAATTTCAGTAAACCCGATTCTATTATTCCATAGTTAGTACGAGCATTGTTACCTTTCGAGTACAATTTCCGACCATTTCAAACATCTATCCAACAAAGCTTTCACGAGTTCTTGACCTTCAGGGATCGAGCCATGAGGGCCTACAAAGTTACCGTCTTCCATTGAACCCTGTATGGCTTTGAGCTGCTCCTGGAAGCTCATGACCTCAGAGGCAGAGAACTACAAATTTGCAAGAGAAATTAGCTTAGACCACCGGACAGGGGAGTCTAAGGCCACGGAAAGCAAGACTATACCTTTGAACGAGTGTTTGCAGCCGATGTAGACCGCAAAATGGAAACCAGTGTCTCATGAGTCGGGGCGAGCTCAGGAGACAAGAACGAAAGTCCATACTGAAGTTCAGCTAATTGCTTTCGGCATGTTTCTAACCGAAGTTCCAAAAGCTTCAATATATCCGGTGAATATGTTTCTTTTCCTCTACTAATGTTCTCCTGCATGGTATCCAACGTCTTCGCGATTGAGTCCAGGTCCTTCTGGCTAAAAAATGCGGCTTCTTTTAGGTGGTCAAGGAGGCGCTAATAGCATCAAAATTAGCAAAATGCTGGAAAGAGTAGGTCTATTTGCAATTACCTTGATTGTTGAAGCCATCGCATATCTATTGAATCCAGTATAAGTCAGCATTCGACTGTTCGGAACAAGCCAGGCACAAGGCGGGATGGAAAAGAGATGGTATGGTAGCCATGAGGTTCAAGCTCACGCTGCGGGTGCTTCATTGTTCCTTCCAACGGTAAGAAATAGCAATGAGATCAGCTGGAAGCAATCGTCCAGCACATTGTCAACTGCAGCGTAATTGCTGGAATTAGATAAATACACTGACCGCAAGTCGAGGGAAGGGAATAACTATTGCGGGGTCACGCGAACCTCGATTATGCTCTAACGTATGTTCCGTTCGGAGGGCGTTCAGCCTCTGGACTTGCTCGACGACCTGGTCATGATAGTGCAGCACATCCTGGGACTTGATATACCTCGATTTGTCTTGTTTGAGGAGCAGGAGGGCGTCTCGAATAACGAGGAGCTGGTCAAGGATAGGCTGTTCTCGAGGATCTAGCGGGATGGATACGGCGGGGGAATCGGCCATATTTCGATAAAATGGCGCCCTTTCATGCGCGAGTAAATTGGAGTCAGAAATAGTCCAAGAACAACAAGGAATGAATTTAAGTCAAGTAAACATAGATGTTATGTAGTTAAGTGCCTTAGATGTTGTAGATTGTGTCCAATACTACATACAACATGGATCTGATAACCCCCAAAGAGGCAAGATAACCACTGACACGTGACTCAGACCATGCACGGGCCACACAAGCCAAGGTTAAGCGAGGGTTTTCTTTCCACACAATTTTGGACACTTGACAACGACTGACGACGAGCTGCTGCCGCATCCGCATTTCTCTCTTCCCTTCAGCCCACCGTATCGCATCACATAGTATCCTTCTCCGCCGGATACTTTATTATCCCTCTCTCGCAATGTCTACCGCCGAGCTCGCTTCTTCCTACGCTGCCTTGATTCTGGCCGATGATGGCGTTGAAGTCACGGTATGTCCAGGCCGCCTGGAGATGAAAAGGGGATATTTCTGGAAGAGGAGGAAAGCCACCGCTACAAAAGATGATATGGAATATGGAATGTAGAATCTATTGCAAAGGGAATGTCTGCTGATTTGTCTTTTTGGTTTCTCGGGACGGGAATTTATAACAGGCCGACAAACTCCAAACCCTCTTGAAGGCTGCCAATGTACAAGATGTTGAGCCTATCTGGTCTACACTATTCGCCAAGGTACATACATACACGCTACACCCCAGCTCTGGCGTTTCACTCTCATGAAATTGCGATATCCGTGGCAATTGGATGTATGGATTGGGAAGCTGGGATTGGAAACATGTATAAAATTGGGACTAACCTAATGAAAAATTTTGAATACCCAAGGCTCTTGAGGGCAAGGATGTAAAAGATCTCCTGCTCAACATCGGATCGGGCGGTGGTGCCGCGGCCGCGGTCGCCAGCGGAGCGGGCCCTGTCGCTGCTGAAACTGGCGGTGCTGAGGAGAAGGTGGAGAAGGAAGAAGGTACGGTTCATTCAAGATTTCACATTTCCTCTCCATGTATGTCACGCAACAAACCAGAACCGGCTGACAAATTACCTTGTGCCATTTATAGAGAAGGAAGAGTCCGACGAGGACATGGGCTTCGGTCTTTTCGACTAAATGACTTTCTTTTATTTTTTCCCTTCGCGTTTACTTCCTCCTCCTCCCAATTCACCTATTGGCGTGTACTCGTAATTGTGAGAAATAATAAAAAAAACATACTATAAAGAGAAATGGGATGCACAGCTACGACCCCTTTACGGACAGATCTCCTCCCTTGACGAAATTCAGATAAACGAATGGAAATTTCACTTGGCAATTGGACCGGATGATCGGGTACCAATGGATTGAATTTCTTTTTCCCTTTTGTGTCAATATGATCCGCTTCTATTAATGTCATATGGTTCATGGTCATGATTGTCGTATTCGTCCATTTTTTGTTTAAACAAAAGAAAGAAAACAAAGAAGAAAAAAAGCGAAATAGAAAAAGAGTGAAATTGTAACATGCATCCCGCCGCCGATTTTTTGGTTCCTGACCAGTTTTGCTTTTAAGTGTGAGGGAAATTGAAAAAGGAAAAGGAAAAAAAAAAAGGCCGCCCAAATGAGGATTTTCAAAAATACAATGGGTGGGGGAGGGAGGGGGGGGGGGGAAGGAGAGCGAGAGGGACGATATTTGGGGTATTTTCATATTACAGCTGAGGAGGACGAATCTGCGTATTGGACGGAATATATTCGGAACTGTACAAAGATCACGACATCTTCAACCATCGTCCCAAGGGACCCAATCAGCCATGGAAGGTTCTTGAGAAAGTATCCCTTTTCAGTGGAATGGAACAATATCTAGGCGTTCTGTTAGCGAATTGCTCAAAGGCTACGTGAATATTCAACTTGAACAGAATTTGGAACTCTTACCCCTGCACCATACGATAAATTTCCCATGAGAGAAAAAATAAAAAATAGCAAAGAAAGTCCTATGAAAAACAGATCAGGTCGCCTGTTCAACGTGAACTACTGTAAATCGCAGGCTTCGTTGACTACATACCTTCGCAAGATTTTTCACGGTAATTTTTGATAATCTGAGGTATCCGTGCTCTATCCATTTTGTCCCCAATCTGTAAGCCATTGGAACCGACGCGAAACTTGATATGCAGGCGTGCATAGCTTACCCTAGATAGAAAACAGCGCTCAGATACCCAAACACCTGCGCGCCAACAGCCATTTTCTCTCGCTGCTCGGTAGCAGTCGGCTGCCACACACCCGACTGCCAGGCAATCGCCCACCCAGCCGTCCCGACGGCACAGATCCCAAGAATACTCAAAGTATTCTTCACCCATGTGTTTCCGGGCTCCGTCTCCTCCAGGATCTTCGTCAACGAATCCGGTACGTAGGGATGCGAGTGCCGCCTTCGCGCCGATGCGGACGACCGCCTCCTCCGCGCCGCCGAAGAAGCAGAGGCCGAGATGCCCAGGTTCTCGCTCATGCGACGGGAGAGGAGCGGAGTGGTGGGGTCGGATGCATCGGACTCCGCGTCAGACTCGTCGGCAACCGTCCCGCTGGACAAGGTGCGGCGACGGTCACAGCCATACTTGCGTGTACGGGCAGCCAAGGCAGCTTCCAGACGGGCATTCTTGACGTTAAAATAGAGACATTGGCAGATGAGGATGCCGTCTGCGAAGCAGAAGTAGACGGCAATGGCGATAATGACGGGGACGAGATGTGCCCAGAGGGAGCCTATGAGGTTTGCAATGTCACCGACGAACCAGACGAAGAGGAAAGTGATGGAGACCGCATCCGCTGAGCCACGTTTGTAGTTTTCGATTAGTTGGGGGATCTGCATTGGCTTGTTAGACATATTTCCCCCCCAGTTGTTGTTTTATTTTTTTTGTGTGTGTGTGTGTGTTTTGTCAAACAGTTTTAGCTGTGTGCATGTTCATGTATGTACGTACCAAGAGGAAAATCCAGCAGGCAAGACAAATTGAACCCAGCACTCCCGAAGCAGCTTCGCGGAGTGTCAATGGGATGGAATCAGAAGGTCCCGACAGGGACATCATGTACGTGTGCATATCGTAAGTGAGAAGGAGGGTCGCCGGGCCAAATGCGAAAGACACAATATTGAAAAATTGAGGAACAGACTCGGGGACAAAAGAGGTTTGGACTGCAGACCCCGAAGATGAAGGGGGCGGGCTTCAATGCAAACAATCGCACGGATCCATCAGTCTTGCATGGCTATTTCTGTCGAGGGGGAGACGCAGAGACGCAGAGAGTGAAACATCTGGCCTTTGTTCGGCGACAGCGGTTGCGACAGGTTCAGAAACTTGCCGGCAGCAGCTCAAGAGTCAAAGGCAAAAAGCGAAAAAAATGTCTTGCAACGAAAGCAGTTGATGACGCTATTTAAAGCGGTCGCGACACAGGGCTGGGTCACGTGATGGGACTGTGGTGGTTCCGGAAACTGAGACGGACGATTGAGGACAAGCATGGAAAAAAAAAATCAAGTTAAAAGGAGATGAAGAACACAATTCATGGGCGGGCTAAGGACTCGTCAACTATTTCAAGCCGCTGAATCGAACGTTTCCCACAAGCTACAATCTCCTGCTGCTGCGTACAGGGCTGACAAGGTCAACCTGGCTCAACTTCCTTGAACCATCCATGTTACGGTATCCCTGCCGAATTCCCTGCTTCCCGCAGCCTTGGAAGATGAAACGTTTCATGGGTATTTTTTTTCCCCTCTCTAGCGGGCTGTGGCTGTTGCAAGGAAATTTTTCGAGCAGGGTTTTTTCGGAGCTAGGGCTGTGCAGATCACATGATCGTGTATATTGTTAGTGGTTGCGCCCCAACACATACCAATACATCGTTACGGCTCTTTCCTACTCATCAATCTTCCCTCTCGCTGGCGAGGATGAGACGCGAGAAATCGCCTTGTACTGTACCGTACAAGCCGGGAACGTGGAGATTGCCTAAACCCACTCGCGTACGTGTGCATAGGTTCGTGATCGTTGTGTTGCACTACTGCATTTTCTTCTTTTACGGGTTCTCCCATCTATTGTCATGACGCTGGTATAAGAATCACACAACCAAGGGTGCAAGAAGAAAAAGAATAAGAACCAACGGGTGATGCGCCGCGAAGAGCTCGTGGGGTTATCTATTTCCACCTGCTTGAACTTGCAGCTCTTCCAAGAGTAAATCAACAACCAACGGTGAGTTGAGTTCAGACGCCGCATCCTGTATGATAGAATCCCAAACATCGGGGTCCAGCAGACGTAGTGCCCTAACCCAATCGGTTACCGGATTTGGGTCGTTGTCTACATCCCAGTTTCCGCGATCCACCCCATTAACCAGCAAGAAATCTTGCAAATCACGTAATCCACGGTTGAAGAGATACTCTTCAGGATGCGATGGTGCGTCAGCATCAGCCTGATCTTCATCCAAGTTGTCACCACTCTCGCCTGGATGAGGATGCGGTAGTGGTTCATTTTCAGAACCCCCCTGCCTGTTCTCCAAATCGCCATCAACTGCAACTGCTTGTCTATTGAGCCCAAACATCTCCCTTGCGACGTCAAATATCCTCGCAGGGTGAGTATTGAAAGATGGATCCGCTATTGGCTGGCCCGGGGGCAGTGGGTCGGAGGCCGATATGCGCCCTGCAACAAAGTGGCGAGGAAGATGAGTAGTGACTGACGGGATATCTGACAATAGAACATGGCGGGCGACGCCAAGTGTGATCTCAGGAGGCTCCACATCCCCACTAATTGCTGCGAGAGTATCTCCAACTTCGACGAAGACAGATATAGCCTCGGGTGTATTCCAAATACCTTTAGCTCGAGCAATGTAGAGTTCGCAGAACATTTCGTGGGCTTGGTTGGGCGCCTGCACTCCCCATATTCGTTCTGGTATGGGTTCAATGTTCAGTTCCTGTGCCAAACGACAAAAGATCCAAGGGTATCGAGACATTGCTTTTCGGAGTTGCGACCGACATTCGGCTGGCTTGCCTTGCAGGAAATAGGCCAGAGCAAGCGAACATTGAATGTTGGGAAATTTCTCCCAGTGGCTGCTAAAGAATGGATGGGAACACAATTTTATAAAATAATCGTGCTCTCTTCCCCGAATAAATAGTGAATCAATTATCAAATTGATGGAGTATGGGTCATCAGGATCCAGGCTTAGGAGTAGCTTCGCCCACTCCGAAGCGGTTTTCAGAGTCCCCTTCACCTCCAAATTCTTGATATATCTCCACCCTGCAAGCCAAAACTCCCGGTTTTCTGCGATGTTGAAATTTAATCTGGCTTTTCCTTCTTTTAGGCAGTTGCCAAATGAGGAGTGGACGGAGCGACCGATATTGAACAAAGCCCTTTCAAGTAAATCCCCAGAGACCGCATGGTCACCCTGGGCCTTCGCGATCTCGGAGACTTGTAACAGACTCAAAATGTGGTATGCTTGTTGAATTGTAAGTAAAGACCCATACAGCACTACTACCATGGTTGGGCGCTACTCGACTTACGATTATAGTGTAAATGATGTATAATTCTCTCTGGTTCCATTGACTCGACACAAATTTCAAATTCCCTTTGAGCATCTTTGTAGGCTGTATTATGAACAAGCTTATATTCTGTCTGGCCGGACGGCAGTTTGTTCACAACTTCCATTCCAAGACCTCCACTCGTCGCCCGCGGCCATTCATCCTTCGCTTGCATCAAAATGTTTTTGCGCAGTGAAGCGCCCGCAAGATCCTGTCCACGACTGACAGGGTTATAGCGTCCGGTTAGTGCCTGTCCAAGGTCCATAGGCTGATGTCTATTCCTGCGGCTTGTGCTCGTACTTGTTGTTTCGTTGGTATGTTCGAATACCACATTGCCGAACAACTTTCTCATCTCATTGATAGCATTGAGGCGCCGCTGGTCAATCGCGAGAAGTTTGTCAAACTCCTCCGATAGTCGTTCATTCACGGTATTTCCTCGCGTGACTAAGTTGCGTTCATCAGTTTGCAGCGGATTTTTAGTCGACAAAGCTTGGAGTGCGCGGTCAATCTCATCCAACTCAGGTTCCTGTGGGCCAGGAGTATCTGATTTGTGGTTCTCTGTGCCACCTGTAGAGTTTTTGGCACGTTTCTTTTTCTTCTTTTTCTTCTTGGTTTCTATAGGTTTTGAAGGAGTGGAAGGCTTCTGCAAGGTCTGAACTGACTCAGGGAGAGAGGTTTCCGAACCAGACCCGTCTTCAGCATCTTGGCTTCCTAGCAAGTCAAAGGCATTAAACTTCGTTGGTGCCGGTTGAAAATTACGTAGCTCGTCGTCTGACAGTTCTTCATCCGAGACTTCGTGGGAAGCTTTTGCTACTTCTTGTTCTTGCTGCTTTTGCAGCTTCCGTAAAGCCCTGGAGGACATGGTCGCAGTGGGTTGAGGAGCCGTTTACTCACGTTAAGGGCTGACAGCAGCGGGAGAAAGAAAGAGGGTGAGGGCGGGACATGGCCAGCAAAATGCGGCCAGCCGTTTATGTGAGTATATAAGACATCTGGCATATAACTCCGGTGTCAACCTATTCATATCCTATGTTGACATCAAAAGAATCATGGTGGGACCACAGCTTGACCTTCGCTGAGTCATCATCACCTATCCTTGGCGCCCCAACCTTGTTTCCAATTCAGTCAAATCCAACATCAACTGGCCTTCTCGTACCATCTGGACCCATTCACGAAACATCGTCCCCGGGAATAGGCTACTTGCCCAAATTTCCCACCGCAGGTCTCCTTTTTTTACGGCTTCGATGCGTCGAGCAGCGACTCACATTTTCCGTGCAGGACGCTGTAGACCTCTCCGTAACCTCCGGCGTGTCCCGCAACCACCCTTCACAGCCAACTATGGAGTAGCACTGCGGGCTACATCCTTCCCAAGGAGAACCGTTGCCATTACTCCTGCTACACTGCAATCGTCAATGCACTTCCGGAACCTTTCTCTGGCATTTATTTCGACTTTGGTGGCATCGGGCGCTTGGTACGCCTACAAAGGTAGCCAAGGGACTGGTGGCATCCCGAGCCCCTTGGGTTCCAACAATAGTTTAGTATCGCCGACTGGAATTCAATCTATGGGGGTTTCATCCACTGCTGCTTCAATAATCAGTGCAGAGGAGACTGCTGAAGCTACACGTCGTGCCCTCCTGGTGGAAAATGAACAATTCTACGCCAGTAATATTGTTGGAAGCGGACCCCTCTCAAAGGAAACGGACAGCTCGGGAAGACGAGTGCTGGAGATGCTAACCCCCGAACAAGCGACGCAGAAGCTGAGGCGGAATGAAGAGTCTTATCTGGTGGGCCGTGGAAGAGGGGTGGTCCGATACGATGTTGTTCAGTTACCCAGCAACGACCCCATCGAAGACGACCATGCGGAAAAAATAGTGGAAGTTCCGCAATCAGTTGCCGCGTCAGAGGATAGTACCACAACGAGTGATTGGATGTTCTGGGGCGTATTTGACGGACATTCGTGAGTTAATTACATGCAACTAACTGTAACCCGTTCCTGACTTGTAAATTCAGAGGGTGGACGACATCCGCGAAATTGCGCCAGGCCTTGATATCGTTCGTTGCACGCGAATTAAACGCGACTTATAAGTCTGCCGCCGCAGATCCGTCCAAAACATTTCCATCACCAGAAGCCGTTGACAATGCAATAAAAAGCGGCTTCGTCCGGCTTGATCACGAAATAGTCCACGAGAGCGTGAACAAGGTTATGAAATCTAACTCGAAGCGGGTTGCCGCAGAGCTCCTCGCACCCGCATTATCCGGATCATGCGCTCTTCTCGCATTCTATGATAGCAGATCAAATTTACTACGAGTTGCCTGCACTGGAGATTCAAGAGCAGTTCTTGGACGCAGAGCAGCTAGCGGAAAATGGGTTGCTACTCCACTTTCGGAGGACCAAACCGGCTCAACTCAATCAGAAGTCGAACGGCTTACCCGGGAGCATCCAGGAGAACCAAATGTTGTTCGGAACGGTAGGATTTTAGGTAATCTTGAACCTAGCCGTGCATTTGGAGACGCATTTTACAAGTGGACACGAGAAACGCAGGATAAAATCAAACGACAATTTTTTGGCAGAACACCACACCAACTCTTGAAGACGCCTCCCTATGTAACAGCCGAGCCTGTTATCACCACCACCCCGGTTGAGCCTCGCAACGGCGACTTCGTTGTCTTGGCTACGGATGGTCTGTGGGAAATGCTCTCTAATGAAGAAGTTGTCGGACTTGTTGGGCAGTGGATAGAGCATCAACGCTCCCTTGCTCAGGGTACGCAGGGAGCTGCCAAAAGTTGGTTGCAGGGTTGGTTCAGGTCTGAGTCGAATTTGCCCGTGGAAAATCCCGGTACGGGCAAGTCCAGTGGGCAGCGCCTCCCAATCCGTCAACAGCAATATAATATTCCCTCCACGAGCGACAGATTTGTCGTTGAAGACAAGAACGCAGCTACCCATCTAGTCCGCAACGCGCTTGGTGGTAAGGATCAGGATATGGTTTGTGCATTGCTTACTCTTCCTAGTCCGTATTCTCGAAGATACAGGTACGTTTGCCATTCCCTGATCCTAACTTGAAATATTGACCCCATATCGCTAACCCGGCGTTGACAGAGATGACCTCACTGTCGAGGTCATTTTCTTCGGTGAAGGCCCCGATACCGGAGATGTAACGCTGAACACCGAAGCCAGCGCCAATTCAACTGAAATGAAAGCTAAGCTCTAGAACATGCCGCTCAATCAGTTTCGGGGATTCAACTTGCTCGTTGACGCTCCACTATGCGCCTCCCCTACTTCTTTTCTGTTATGCAGGAGAGGTGGTGATCTTTCTCCGTCTTACCATAAGTGGTTATTTGAAAGGGCGTTACGGATAGACGGAATGCCAGCCTTCTTGATTCTGTCGTTTGTTGTTGTTTCTCATTTTTCTCATTTTTTCCCCAACTAAGAGTCATTGCATCGCAAGTTTTCCCATCTAACTCCTCGTACGGATTGATCGCTTACATTACCCCTATTACTCACCGCTCGTTTCTTATTATGATTGCGAATCACCCTAAAGCCCTGAATCGTCCAGATTTGGGGGCAATTTCCCAACCCACCCCTCGATATATCTATCTTAATAGATATGATAAATTCTTTGATTTTCTGTCGTGTTTCTATTACAATATCTTCTGCTCCTTGCCAACCCTCAGGCGAGGATACCGAAATGAAGTTCCCCAATAACCCCATGCAGAGTTAACTGAGGGCCCACAAGAGGAACAGCGTGTAAAGAATATGAAAAACCAAGTTATGTACTAGTCGTCCGTCCCATCCAGATGGGTGACATGAAACTCAAAACCGTCTCCATCTTGATTAATGACATCGCGCTCCCATTGAGGGAGGTAAAGTTTGTGTGGTCATAGATTGCCACTTAGCCCTTAATATTCAACCTCTTGTCGCAGGGTTTCCTTGATGATTTTTTCAACGAAGTTATCCCACGGTATCTCGTTCGAAATTCCGTAAGGTCGCTTCTGAGAAAACCGGCCTGTTTTGAATGTTACTTTTGACAATGTCTAGCTAGGGGGCAGGCTGCTCTTAGTATTAGTGAGATATACAGATTACTTTCTCTTACCGATTTTCTGAGCTATTTATCTGCTGCCCGCCTGCCTATGTATGTACAATATCAAGATGAAGTGATATCTGGTGATGATATCTATTGATGGCATGAATATCTAGTAGAATCAATGATTGAGAGATAGAAAACAGAATATTACAAAAAATGATTTGAAATAGAAGATCACTATATTAGACAGATGATTTTAAGAGTAGATAACTATCACTACTAATATTGTGATAGAGATTTGTACTGTACATATTATGAAAATGATTTAAGAGCTCTATAATATAGTATCAATTTCTCATTTCTGCTCTCAAATAATTGTTCACTTAAGGGTCAGAAGTGTATAATACCGACTAAATGCAGTTGCTAAGGTCGTTGCGAGATTGCTTCTGTTGTCAATTTCTTTCCCACCGAGAGGACCACTAACTACCCACAGACTAGAAAAAATAGTTTTCTAAACCCTGGCCGAATTTCTATTGCAAAAGTGTGATGATGACATCTTGTCCTTTTCCTTGAGCAACATCATCGAAATGCTCCTCGGTTGTTTCGCAGACTCGACATTCGGCAAGTGATTTGATGATGGTCTTTTTCCTCACCGTCAGGGATAGCTAGCGTGTCGAAGGGTCCTATTAAGGGGAAACTAAGAACAGCCGGACTTTAGAGGGCGAAATCTTCGCTTTCATAGGTCGTTTAGATCTATACTATTGCTACGATCATGACGACAACTTGATTCTCCAGGACCTGAGTGAAAATATCAGCATTGGTCTTTTTATCGCCAGTCTTCCACTTATGAAATTTCTGAGTGCCAATCATAATCCTGCCAGCCACATGAGCTTTTTGCAAGTTGATCTCTATTTGGAATCAAGAACTTGAAAATTTCCCCGATATTGACGATGGTGACTGCCACGGGTGATACGAACCTTTGGGTGGCAAAGCTACGAGTACTATGCATCACCATACTGTTATTTCGATTCTTCAAGTACTATTGACCATTTCAAATGCGCAGAATCTCAGTAGATTCGCTGAATACTTTTCTATCATATCAATACCGGCATTGGGTCCCGGAACAGTCGTTACGTCGTCCCGCCAAATTTGATTCCTTACTAGTAAAGTTGATGCCCCGGGGTTTGTCCATGTTGAAGGATTCGATGTCGAACTGGTTGGTTAGTCCTGTTGTGGGTGACACATTCGCATTATATCCGACGTCCCCATGCTTAATGCTTTTCAGTTAGTTGTTATGCCGAGAAACTGTAGCAAACGTCGTTGTTAAGTTTAAGATGGTTGAAGTCGCCCGAACCTAACTAACCCTTCTCGATTTGGCTTAGCGGGCTTCTTCTCGACCAGTATAAATGTAAGCTCTGGGATCGGTTTCGTTATATTCCCTACTGCTCTACAGTGTAGCAGTATGGCTGTGGGTATACTTTGTTCTTTTGTTCCTTAAAGGCCGATGATAACTTTCCTCTTCTCAAATAGAAACAGTGACGGATACATCCGGTTTCTCTCTTTCGGGAAGGCTTTGCCAGGAAGTACATGTCTAACTTTCATGAGCTGAATGGATTCTGAGTCCTCCTCAGTCGCAGCAGAACGTACCCACGCACCGTGCAAGCTGATACTAAATTGCCGTACTAGTTGTATTACAGAAGCTTTCTTCTTTGACAGATTTCACACATCTCTATATATTTTTTAATATTTACTCGGGAGCTCATCTTAAATATATTTGTATCTGAAAAGCTATTTCATCTTCTCTATCTCAAAATGCTCAGTAGACATGTCATTATAATAAATT